AGCGGCACCTAGAAAGGGTATTAAAAAGAATTCTAGGTGCGGGCCTAACCATCAACAAAGATAAAAGTCACTTCTGTAAGACAGAAGTCAGGTACTTGGGAGTTCTTGTGAACCAGGACGGAGTAAGACCAGATCCAGAGAAAATACGCCCGATATTAGAATATCCAACACCCCGGACTGTCAAACAGGTGAAGTGATTCATGGGAATGACCTCGTGGTATAGACGTTTTATACCCGATTTTGCCATGGTCGTTGAACCTATAAACCGCCTGATAAAGAAGAATATACGTTTCTCTTGGGAGGAGGAGCAAGAGCGAGCTTTCACGAGGTTGCAGGAGGCGGTGACTTCCGCCCCAATACTGCAATCTCCCGACCCTAACGGTCAGTTTATACTATAAACTGATGCCAGTGACAGTGGGATTGGGGAAGTCCTCACGCAAGATGTCGATGGAGAAGAGCGTATGATAGAATACGCTAGGCGATCACTCAACAGCGCTGAGAGAAATTATACGGTCTCCGAAAAAGAGTGCTTGGCAGTGGTATGGGCTATTGGAAAGTTCCGGCCGTACATTGAAGGGCATCACTTCAGGGTCATCACTGATCATAGTTGCCTGAAATGGCTCCACAATAAGAGAAATCCCGCGGGAAGACTAGCGCGATGGGCGCTAGCATTGCAAGGCAATGTCTTCGATATTGAATATCGAAATGGGGATCTCAATGTGGTGCCTGACGCATTGTCTAGGGCCTATGAGGAGGAGGGGATTGAAGTGAGTACCATAAATAGTCGGCCGGAGATCATTGACGCCTGGTATTTGCAACAATACCAGGAAGTATGCCAAGACCCACACTCTCACCCTACTTGGAAGGTAGTGGGAGGGAGGCTGTATCATTATCACCCTGATGAGGACGGCGAAGGGTCCATCGACAACGATGAAGCGTGAAAGCTTACGGTGCCTAGGGAGAAAAGGCACCAGGTGCTCCAGGAGGTCCATGATGCTCCTACAGCAGGACATCAAGAACGAGAGGGTACGTTCTCGAGAGCTAGGCGCTTGTACTACTGGCCTAAGATATATGATCAGGTCAGGGAGTACGTAAAGAGTTGCCCGGTGTGTCAGCAATGCAAGGTGGAACAAAGAGCACCTTGCGGGTTGATGGGTCATAGACAAGTGTCACGACCCTGGCAGGTGGTGGCCGGTGATATCACTGGTCCATTTCCCAAAAGCTCTCCAGGTTTTGAGCACATCTTAGTCTTTATAGACTTGTTTACTCGCTGGGTAGAGTGTGTTGCAATACGCAAAGCCAATGGGAAGACAATCGCAAGCGAATTACACGAGAGAATTGTCACTAGGTTTGGCGCGCCCAAGGTATTCTTGTCGGATAATGGAACCGAATTCAAGAATCAGGAAGTCGATTCATATCTCCAGACGAACGGCATCCAGCGCGTCATCGGTCCACTAAGAGGCATCAACTCTCCCATGAAGGAAACGAGAGGGAGAGGTAGGCCTCGAAAGACTGTGCCCGTCGTGCAAAAGACGGTTGGGCCGATAACCCCGAACGGCAACCGACGAGGGCCAGGACGTTCCCGCAAAGAATCGCGAGGGAACGTATAACTCGGTGGAATGCGGCGTATATTAGGGTTTTTCTTCGCGCAGGGAGTTTCATCCAAGATTTTTTGTTTTGGATGTTACAGATGGACCGGAGATTCGTCGTCGAAGAGGAGACCTTCGAGGTGGTCACGCAGATGTTATTAGATCTGCAACTGGGCCCTGATGCGACTTAGTTAATTGAAGATCTGCGGAACTTCGCCAGGGTCCAGTTGGAGGGGACCACCCGAAGGGAGCGCCACAATGCTTCGGTGGCAGACGTTCTCCGGGACTCATCGCCGGTCGCCACGAAGAAGGCTTCCCGGGACGCTTCGACACAGACGGAGGACCAGGACAGTGTCGAGCGTCCCAAGTCCACAGTGGACCAGGGGGTGCAGTCCCTCAAGTCCGGCGTACCCCAGTCGTCGGACAGTGCGAGCCAGTGCCCACGACCCAGGGAAACCTGTGGGGCATCGCACTGGGTCTGCAATCACCCCCGTATCCCAGAGCAGCCTACTCTCCTCCTCGACTTCAGACACGTATGTCTGGGGATTAACGAGGTGGAGAGTGCCTGGCGGTTCGCTCAAGAGCTCCAGTGTTAGGTGCAGGAGCACCTGAGACGCTTCATGAGCCGCTAGGGTGCAGAAGAACTACTCGGGGAGTGGGCAGAGATGGCTCAGCGTCAGAGGGCCTACGGAGAGGCCCTGCTGCGGGTGGACAAGGGACAGGAGTTCCCCGCAGCTCTCCCGGCGCCGGCTCAGGAGAAGAGAGCCCCGGGAGCTACTGACGCTGGACCGATGCTCACGGTCCATGTGGATGGGCGTATGGCTCCCGATACCACAATCGTGGTCAGGTCACAAGATGGTCGTGCGACCGCCACGGTGGGAGGCGTTACTATCACCGCCACCCAAGGAGCCAACGTCCAGCAGCTCCCTCTAACTGCTGAGCAGCCTATACAAGTTCGGAAGGCTGCTCAATCTCGATCGCAGCTGAGGGGCTGCTATATCTGTGGGAAGCCTGGGGTGACCAACTCCCAGCGGTGCCCGAAGAAGGCTATACACTGGCGCTACCCGAAACATGGAGCGCCAGGTGTAGCCAAACGATGATGTAGGCCCTGGAGGGCAATAAAATTAGCCGAAATAAAGAAGGGAGTTGTTTATTTAGTTCCTTTTCTTCTTTACTTTTCAGGTTCCTGATGGCGGCGAATCGCGGGTATTCGTCCTGCTCGGGTAGTCAGGACTTGGAGCGGGCTGCAACGGTAGTCGATTTAATTAATCGAACCGTTCGCGATTCTGCTTCTCGCGTGTTAGTTCTAATAGTTAAGAGAGAGAGGGGGCGCGCGATCTTTTGAATAGGCAGTTACGCCTCAGCTGTTCACGACAGTTTACCACCGATTTGTTTTTTGCACTTTGTTTCGCAAAAATAAAGTTTTCTTTGGGTCAATTTCGTGCGTGAGTGCAACGGCATTTCCGTGACTATAACTAATCAAATATTGTAATTCATGAATATTTTAATGTAAGTTATTAAATTATTGTTACATTCAATGAAATATTTTGTAAAAATTTCAATCGATTATGTAGGAAATATTGTCATTCAAATGGAAATTAATTTATCAAAATCAAAATAATGTTTTTATGTGATATATTTCAATCAGATTCATCAAACAATTAATACAAAATATATTCTTTTATTTTTAACAAAAATCACACAATGTATATAATAACTTATTGTTGAATGCATTGATGTTTTTTATGCCAACTCTCAATGTATTTCTTACATATGCAATACAATATCTAACATTCTGTTTCTTTTTAATATCGCCACCACTTATTTATTTGTATATTTTACAGATTGCAATCAAAATTGATAAGAATTTGTCCTCCAGCCAAATCATCATAATTCTGTTTTGAATTGAATGAAAGACTCGATTATGTTATTAGATTAGACTCAAAATCACATTTTTTAAGGTAAAATATTGAATATTTAGTTGTTAGTGTTGTTTTTTAGTAAATCTATTTAATAATATTCATACTTTTCATTCATTTTTTGTTTAATTAAATTAAAAGGGTTCCTATTCAAATTTACAATTTTCTGTTAAACCTGTTTTAATTTGTTTTTGAATAGGTTTCAACTATTATAAAAAAATTTGTATGAGGGATTATCCTTTCTTTCGATGAAACAAGCCTTATTAAGTACTTAAAATTTGTTCACAAAACCTATCTCAAAGTCAAATAAATCATGGTATATTGAGAAAAGTATTATATTCCACTGAACCTTTAAGTTAAATTCATATTATAGTTTATTTCAATTTCATAAGTTTTTGTAAAACATTTTAAGTAGCATTTGTAAGGCAAATATTATGAACATAGTATCTGAAAAAAATTAAATACAGTTTAATTCATAAATTTTTTCTTTTTCAGGATAATCGAACATTTACTTCAATTTCTTCAACTTTTATTAGTATCACTATTACTTGAACTTATTACTTTTACTTGAACTTATTACTATTACTTGAACTTATTACTATTACTTGAACTTATTACTATTACTTGAACTTATTACTATTACTATTACTTAAACTTAGCTTAACATGTATACCTTAACTTCAACAATAAACCAAATAATCTAACAACGGTTTTAACCGATAAAACACAATTATTAATTAACTACTGCAATCATACCATAACTTTTATTGGACTTACATTATTAAAATATAAAATTGTTTTATGCAATTTTTAATACTAGAAAAATTACTTGTACGCATTAGTTTTGGAAGTATTATTGTTACTTTATCTAACTTTTATACGTTCATCATGCCTGCTAGGAACATTAGATGTACTTCAGAAGAACAAGAATTATATCAACAAGCTAAACAAGTTCGTGATAGAGAAAATGCATGTCGCAGACGTCAAGTAGCTCGAGATGTAACTTATCAAAGAAACATAATAATAGAACCTGATTATTTAGGTCCTATGAATATATTATGTTCACATTGTAAAGCTAAACATTTTAAAGATGAAATGATTTCTAATAAATGCTTATCATTTAGTGATTGTTGTAGTCATGGCACAGTTTCATTAGGTCCTTTATCGATTACATAATAATTCAAAATTAGACTCTGAACTTTTACTAACTTTAGACGGAATTATACGTGAAAATAACATTTTTACTCAATCTTACGAAATGATGAGAGTAGAAATAGAAAGACAACAATCATTATTATCTAATGATAACCCTTTTCAACCGGAATTATAATTACTATTTTCTTTGAAACCAGGTGTAGATAGAAGATGATATAATTTTCAGTGCGTTAATGAAGTTGCTGCAATATTTTCAACCACAGCAGATGAAGAAATTCCAGAATTATATGTGACAATTAGAAATAAAAATACAAAAAATTTATAATACATAAGCACTATGGATCCTAATGTAGAACTCTGGATTTATCCTTTGTTTTATCCTTACGGTACTCAAGGATGGCACAAAAATTTAACGCGCGTTAATGATACTAAACGTATTTCTCGAATGGCATATTATAAGCATCGAATAGCCGTACGTGCAGACGAATTTAATCCTTTCATAAGGGGTGGTAGATTATTTCAACAATGGGCAGTCGATAGTTACGTGAAAGTTGAAAAAGATCGTATACAATATTGTAAAGATCATCAAAAAGAATTACGAGCTGATACTTATAAAGGTCTTAGTGATTTTATGCAAAATACTGCTATTGAAGTTGGTGGACAAGTTGGTAAAACTGTTGTTCTTCATTCAAGTTTTACTAGATCGCCACGTTACATGCAACAATGTTATCAAGATGCTATGGTAATCGTAAATGAAAAAGGAAAACCTGATGTTTTCGCTACAATGACATGTAATCCCAACTGGCCTGACATTCAAGAAAACCTTTTGTCTGGTCAACAAGCTTCAGGTAGATCAGATATTGTATCTCGAGTGTTTCATTTGAAAAAATATCGACTACTTGATGTAATAGTTAAAAAAATTTTGTTTGGCAAAATTACTGCTTTCGTTTACGTTATTGAGTTTCAAAAAAGAGGTTTACCACATATGCATTTATTAATAACATTAGCGAATGGATTCAAATGGACTACTCCTGAAATTGTTGATAAATATATATCAGCTGAGTTTCCTAATAAAATAAATAATCCACGATTATACGATATCATATTAAAACATATGGTACACGGACCTTGCGGTGACTGGTGTATAAAAAATGGTAAATGTTCTAAAAAATTTCCTAAGAATTTTCAGAATGAAACTACTATGGATGAAAATGGTTATCCGAATTATCGCCGAACAAATGATGGCATTATTCACGAACGCTCCAACGGTCATCAAGTTGATAACAGATGGATAGTATCTCATTGTCGAGAACTATCAGAAATGTTTGACTGCCATATAAATGTCGAAGCAGTATCGAGTATTTTAGCTGTAAAATATTTTTATAAATATATATACAAAGGGCATGATGCTGCTACAGTCGTTATTCAAGATTCCGAACATGTTGTAGGTGTTTATCATGATGAGATTAAAAAGTTTATAGAAACTCGATATGTCGGCCCTGTTGAAGCTATCTATCGTTTATTAAGTAAACCATTACAAGATAAAAGCCATAGTATTATTAGATTACCTGTGCATTTACCCAATAATCATTCGATCATTATTTCTGATAATGTAAATGATCCCTTGACGTTACAAAATCTACTAAACAGTACGAGCAGTATGTTGCTTGATTATTTTAAATTGAATAGCGAAAATGCCTCAGCTAGGCAGTATTATTATGGAGAAATTCCAAAACATTTCACTCATAAAAAACAGAAAAATGGAACAGTGTATTTAGATAAATGGAATCCACGAAAAAAACATTTCAATGTCGTTGGGCGTATGTACTCTGTTAGTCCAACACAACTTGAATTATTCCACTTAAGATTATTATTACATGTCAAAGCAGCCGTAAGTTTTGAAAGTTTAAGAACTGTTGATAATGTAATACACCCTACTTTTACAGCAGCTTGCTTAGCATTGGGTCTCATTGAAAATGATGAAGAATGGAAAAGAGCATTGGAAGAAGGAACAAAATGGATGATGGCTCAAAAACTTCGTTATCTGTTTGTACGAATCCTTATACATTATCAACCACTTAATCCAGAAGAATTATGGGACGAATTTAAAAATCAACTATCTGAAGATTTTTCTCGATACCACGATGAAAGCATAAGCAATAAAATGACGTACTTTCACATTAACACATTATTAAATGAAAAAGGTCGTAGTTTAGTTGACTTTCCTACAATGAATCAATTCGTTGAAACAGAATTTCCATGTCTACACCAGTTAGCATTTCCCAGATCTTTGCAATCAACTGCAGAACGAGGACAAGATCGATATAATAACTTAAATCCACAACAGAAACAAATTGTTGATATGATTGTTGAAGCCGTCCAAAATATCAATTATACTGGTCCAAAATGTATTTACATGGATGGACCGGGACGGTCGGGAAAAACATATGTTTATGAAACTATTATTATAAATTAGACTCAGAAAACATTAAAATATGCGCGATAGCATTTACCGGAATTGCAGCTACATTACTTCCACACGGAAAAACTGTACATAAAACATTTAGTTTACCAGTTCCAATGTTTCAAGATTCTTCTTCCAATATCAAAGCACAATCTAAAGAAGCTCAACTACTACAAGAAACTAAAGTATTTATTTGGGTTGAAATTTCAATGGCTCCAAGATATGCTTTAGAAATTGTTAATAAAACTTTACAAAATTGCATGAATAATAACTTACCGTTCGGAGGAAAAGTTATTATAGTGGGAGGAGATCTAAGACAATTATTGCCAATTAAAGTTCATGGAACTCGGAGTGAAATATTAAGTCTTTGCGTAAAATATAGTCCAGTATGGAATTATTTTACTAAATTTTCATTGACTACAAATATGAGGGTTTTACGAAATGAAATAGAATTTTCAAAATTTTTGTTAAATCTTGGCAACGGCACGTTAAATAATCTAAATGATAATGTAAATCTTCCTGAACAAGGCATTGTGACGGTAAACGTCAAATTAGCGCTAATAATATAACCTAATTGCTGCCTGTGGGGGCAGCACTTACCGGGGAGACGAAAAACGTAACGAAGGAATTCGGCACGCGAGCAGACGGAACGCGCGCGATTGAAATTGAAGCAGTGGAGCACTAACCATTAAGGTATTCGCCGGTAGTCACGTCGTCAGCTGCCGATGCAGAAACCGCGAAGATCGCGATCCAGGATTGAAGTGCCTGAACGAGTGCGGACCTGAGCCAGAGGAGAGCGTCATTCCCCGCGACAGCGAGAGTGTGTGTGAGGTTCGCCATTGAGGGCGGAACCACGTGCGCGCGAATTCGCGAGCCACGTCGAAAGAACAGACAAACTTTACCGCAGTACAAATCGTGCATTCTTGTCTTCGAACGTCTGCTAAATAAAGGTAAGCTGGCCAGCTCAATCTCGCGATCACGATTGCATGCGTCATAATTAATTCCTCGTGCTCAAAGCGTGCATGTAATAGCTCTGTTAACAAAGAGCATCGAGCGTCCCGACACTGCATGTTGTTATCGAGCAAGCGCCGATGTAAACGTAAACACGCGGGCCGATTCTGATGTAGTATTTGAGAAGACAATAAAGGCTTTCGTTCGTGATATTTAACAAGTGCTTTCGGCTCGTTTATTCCGTATTGCTTCCACTCACACTTGTAGTTAGTTGGTTGACTGACATCTGTTTCCCTCTTGCTTTCCGACTAACGTATCGAGCATAGGTAATTACGCGCACCCTTTGGTGGAATTGCGCGAATAAAATAATTAAACGGTACCCACCCCGTAACATGGCACCCAACGTAAAAGAACCTACGGTGTTTCTGATTGTTCAAAACACCGGTTCTTAATAGTAACCTTGCGCTCAGTCAACCAGCGACTTAGGTGGCAATCAAGTGTTGTTGTGCACACTTGATATCGAAAGCCAAAACAGTAAACATAGCCTGTTAGTTAGCTTTCAAAGGCCCGCCGCGACGTAAAATTGTAAATAATAACTAGAAGCGCGTGCGAGTGCGACCGAAAGACTCTTAAAGCGTAAACACCAATAAACTTTGAAAGTTGCCGCAAATCAATAATATTGTACCCGCTGGCCCGGGGAAAACTAACACCGGCAACTTTCAAACGAAATTAATTCAATTTTACAATTTTATTTGATATCGTGTTGTCTTAGAGTGAACGTTTTTTTTAATATTATTAGCTGCGGTTATTAGTGACTACGCGCAACGCTCGTACAAATATTTTAGATACTAACCAAAACAGCCGCGCTAACAAACAGTTAGTGCGTCTGATAGGCAGGATCATTATATCGAGTAAGAACAAGCGAAGAGTCTTTCGGCAGAAATAACATTAAACGCCCTTGACAAGCCTAGTATCGGCTAATAAAATTTTCACTTGCGTACGATTTTTTTTGAAAAACAGCACTCGCACTCGCACCACGCATAACAAGCGTGTAAATTTCGCGTGAAACAAGCCGCAAGACAACTAACAGAAGAATATGGACCGCACTAAGACAGATATAGAAGAATGGGTATTGACGCTCCAGGAGGAGGAAATCGATGAATACCTCGAAAACCTGGAGCTCAAAACAAGCGGGGCCAAGCTCTCGAGAGTTGGCCGCCTGCATAACTAGTTGCTCGGCGACTACTCCGCAGCAGATTTCGTGGAAGTCGACAACCAGCACAGCAATCCAGCAAAAAGAGCTGCCCTACGCTCGGAACTGATTGTATCCCTATGTGCGGAACACACAGCATCCGAGCAAGAGGGAGAACACCCGCTAGCCCAATTAATGCAGAGTGCGGAGGTAATATCACGAGTGCAGAAAACCGCGATAAACATCGCGAATGTCCTGGACAGCGGCGAGAACACAAATAGTAATAATGATACGGCTGATGATGGCAGCCAGTTCAAACTCCCGCCGGCATTCACGGTGATGATCCAAGACCTCATTTTCCGGTCCAGAGAAAATGAGAAGAAACTGGAGCTACTAGACTCTCTAAGTTTGAATATGTCGAGTCTAACAAAAATATTAGACCAAGTCCTCAGCAACAACATCAATGTGAAGGACCAACTGGATAATCAATCCGCCAGGATCAGCGCATTAGAAAACGCCGAAAACAGAAATATACGGCAAGACGATGCGAATAGTTCCAACGAAGCGCGGCAACAGGAGAACACGCGTAGGAGCGTAGCATTCCAGGACACCTTCACATGCCATTACGATTCATACATTCAGGCTACCCCAGAGCACTCCAACTGGACCCGGACAAAGGCCCACGGGCGCCACCGGCAGGACCCCCCGCCGGACGCTCCCTTTCGGAGAGGGTGGACAGCATCAACTCAGTGGAGTTAATGCTGAAGTGGATAACCGCCCGCTGAGCACGTGGTCATCCCAGCAGGTATCAAACCCTTGGTCTACAACAAGGGATGTTGGCCGCATTGTCCGAGGCTGGAAACTAAAGTTTTCAGGAGAGGGCAATGCGAGCATTGACACCTTCCTATCCAGGCTGGATAACTTGAGGAGTAGTGCAGGACTCACGGAAGACGAAATGCTCATAGCCGTACACGAGCTTCTCGTCGGTCCTGCCCTCACCTGGTACGAGGCGATGAGGGAGGAATGGCTATCCTACGCTGAGTTTGAAATGGATGCGAGAAGGTTTGGGACTAGCGTGCACCAGCAGCAGCGTTTAATGAAGGAGGTTCAGAGCCGATATCAGGGCCCAGACGAACCAGTGAACGTCTACGTCGCTAATATGATGGGCCTGATGAATCGGCTGAACCCTAAGATGACGCCCGTTAGTCAACTGGACCTGCTACACGCCAACCTTCTCCCGGACATCCAAGATCAAGTGCGGAGGTCCGAGGTGAACTCCATACGGTCCCTGAACGCGCCGGCCACGGCGGTACAGAATAGCTTGCACCAGCGAAGGATAGAACGGGTGGTGCCGGATCCGCAATCAACATTGTACCCGGAGTTAGCGTACCACCCACGCACCGATGGAAGCAAGGGTCGCAAAGGTAAAGTGGCATCTATGTCTGGTGACAAACCAGAAGTCAGTGACAGGTTGGACCGCATAGAGAAGGTACTCGAGAAGGTGACGCACCAGGTCGTCTACACGCCGACGCCCTCGGGGGCGACACCTAATCCGAGCCTGGAGTCGGTCGATGGCGAAAAGAAAGTCCTACCCACCGATATATTGAACTAAATGCTGCTGTCTCTCAGGGAGATATCGGAGGGGATAAAGGATATTCGCGCTGACAAAAACCTGGCCTCCGAGGACCGAGCTAGGAAGCCGCAGACTCCTCACAGGCGAGAGAGGGATTAATTTAAGCCACTCAAATGCATCGAGTGTGGTTTACTGGGGTACAGCAGGAAGTACTGTCCCCAATGCAATAAGGGAAACGAGGAAAGAAGTGATTAGTTGGGGTTGACCCCAATCCTTCATCCCGTAAACCAAACCCCGTTAATGAGATCTCGCGGCCTTCTTCAGCACAGCCCGCACCGTTAGTAGCGAGCGTGTTGAGCGACGAGAGCGAGAACTCTCTTGGTGACGCCAATGATGAACGTGGCGGTAGAGTGCACGCGGAGAAGAAGGGTAATGACGTTAGTAAAGCTCAAGACTCTGGACCAGCCGAGGTGGTGGCGTACGGATTGCACACGCCCTCGGGGGCGCAGGTAAAGGCAGATAAACCGTCGAAGGGCATCGACGTTAGTAAAGCCCAAGACCCTGGGCCGGCCGAGGTGGTGGCGAATGGATCGCACACGCCCTCGGGGGCACGGGTAGCGGCAGATAAACCGTCGAAACGTAACCCCATGGCAACTCCGATCGTCCGAACCAAGGTGGTTCGGACGACAAGTGACGTCACTCTACCACGCGAGAGCACAGTGGCTAGCGCTATGATGTACAAGGAAAAAAGCTGTGGAGCCGTCGAAACTGTTTCCCGATATTCCCCGGAACAGGAGACGCGTTGGTGGCTACCGGTGAAAATAGGGGACTTCCAGATATGGGCCCTCTATGATCCGGGAGCTTCCACCACAGCCATGAGTAGTAATGCTCTGCAGATAGCGTCTGTGTTAGGCGTCAGATTGGACATCACCCACGCGGGTACAGCAGGACTACCAGACGGTCGTAAGTTAACGATCGTTGGTCACGCCATGTTGCCGTTTACCGTGGGGGAGATGACGATGTCGACGAGAGTAGCTATCCTCCCTACCCTCGTCGATGAATGTATCTTAGGAGTGAACTTTGTTAGGTTGTTTAGAGCAGTACTGGATTTGGATGATGATACATTACTGCTCAAGAAATCACAAACCAAGATGAAACTAGAAGTAGCTAGTTTGGAGGCTGGTCCGAGATTAGCTACTATCGGACTAGCCGAGGTAACCGCCTCTCAACAGGCGATATTGCAGAGGACCATCGGCGAGGCCTTATCGCAGGCCCCCGTGGTACTGAGACGAGCAACAGGCATTGAACACGAGATTCAGGTCGATGAGACGAGACCGTTCAAGACCAAACATGGACATTTCACTGCCTTCACCGTACCCGGACTGGGACACCTCCGGTTCGTAAGAGTATCATTCGGTTCCTCGTGCGCCAATCACACCTTCCAACGGTTAATAGATAGCGTGATCGGACCCGAGCTTGGCGGTTTCTCCTTCGCCTGTTTGGACGATATCATAGTAGTATCATCCAAATTCGGAGATCACCCACAACATCTTAAAACTGAGTTAGATAGGTCGTATAGGGCTGGCCTCTCGATTGATCGAGAGAAGAGTGTCTTCTGTAAGCCTGAGGCCACATACCTTGGTTTGTTGATTATTCACGATGGGACTCGACGACGAGATGACGACGAAATCTCTACCACCGAGGGAGCTAAGGCGACGAGCGTCCCGCCTAATGCGAGCGATGCGACGATACGCGGAAACGGATGCGCCGACGCTACAGGTGACACACTCCGGAATGACAACGCGACAACTTCGAACCCACCTCGTTACGTCCCTTCCGATTCCTTCGTCAAGATCCCTATAACCACCCCATCAACTAACGCGGGGAAGCGCCCGCGAAGGAGACCTCGCGAGTACGCGCTAACCACACACACTACACAACATCGACAGACTACTCGAGCCCCCCTCTCATCGACGGGAAAAGGAAGAGGGGCAGACCACCAAGAACGCCGACCGTGGATGCATGAGACCCGGCGATCGAAGGACCAGGGAGACCGACGCCAAGGACCCCACCTTCGACCTCAGCGACGAAGGCCCTGGGCAGCCGAAAAGGCGCCCACCTTCGATATCCGAGAAAAATATTCGGGATACTAACGTGCTGGATTATTACAGGATGCAGTTCACGCTCGAGCAATTCGAACAGACGGCGGCCGCCCTCATCGGGTTGGATTTGGGCCCCGCGGTCGAAGGGGTGGTTCACGCCGCCCTACACCTTCTCAGCACCAAGAAGGAGGAAGAGGAGCAAGCACGGGTGCGAGCTCACGAGAGCTCGTCATCCGTACTAATAGAGAAACTCCCCATCGAAGAGACTACCACATGCGCGTCGTCGACGCCCGGGATCACGCGCGCCGAGACACCCCACTTACCGGGAGCCACATAAGCTGCGATCCCGATGCGAGCCCCACCAATCTACGCGCCGCCCTGCACCTACTGGGACAGAAGAGGCACGAAGAGGAGCAAGCACGGGCGCGAGCTCACGAGAGCTCGACGTCCGTGCTAATCGAAGAGCTCCCCTATGATGAAGCCGCCTCAAACCCGTCGACGACGCCCGGGATCACGCGCGCCGAGACACCCCACTTACCGGTAGCCACAACAGCTGCGATCCCGATGCGAGCCCTACCAATCTTCATCGGGACGCAGACTGAGGAGACGGCCTTCAGCGATGCGACCTGGCGCCCCAGGTTCACCAGCCAGGCGTCCACGCCTGGCGAAAGAACCTGGGAAGAAATCGTGGAAGGTTTGAGGGAAGTCGAGCAAGGCTAGGCCACCCTCAACACCCTCCAGCGAACCGTATACGCGGAATACGACGCGTATACGGCCGCGGGACATCGCCCCAGTAACTTAGGATACTGGAGTCAGGTGGTATCCCGCCGGCACCATTTCGCGCTCACGCTGAAGGAAGTCCAGCGCCGTCACCGCCAGGCTCTCGAGGGCCCTCGAGATCAGCGGCTCCGAAGGTCGGGTCGGGGGCCACGCCACGCCAGGGCTCGCAAACGTGCGGGGTAAACCTGGTGGTGAACGTGGACGGCAGCCAGGGGGGTCATGCAACGGGGCCCATCCACATCAATGTGGTAGTAGGGCCCGCGGGAGAGGATCCCACGGTCGAAAGGCCGCTGTGGTCCGCCCCGAACCGTAGGGACGGGTTGCCACTGACCCCCAGCGAACGAGGCCTCCTGCGATGCACCCTATCCCGCGCTCAGTGGGAGGGGTGCAACGTGTGCCACTACCCCGGAGTGACCCGCACGGACCATTGCCCCCACGTGAAGCAACATGCCGACCTGGTCCAAGAGAGGCTGGGATGGGAGGCACGTGGACGCCCCCCGTTGGACGACGAAGGCCAGGAGAAACCACCCGGACCAGCCAGGTGATCGTTCCCTGCCCCCGTGGGCAGGGCCACACGTACACAGCGTCACCGAATAAAGGTTGCTCTAAATACCACATGGACTATGACCTTTATTATCCTTTCACCTCTCCACCTCTGAAGGGACAGCGCTAATACGGTTGTCGTCGAGGACCCCATAGGTCTATACTGGAAGGGAGCTGTGACGGTAAACGTCAAATTAGCGCTAATAATATAACCTAATTGCTGCCTGCCGGGGCAGCACCTACCGGGGAGACGAAGAACGTAACGAAGGAATTCGGCACGCGAGCAGACGGAACGCGCGCGATTGAAATTGAAGCAGTGGAGCACTAACCATTAAGGTATTCGCCGGTAGTCACGTCGTCAGCTGCCGATACAGAAACCGCGAAGATCGCGATCCAGGATTGAAGTGCCTGAACGAGTGCGGACCTGAGCCAGAGGAGAGCGTCATTCCCCGCGACAGCGAGAGTGTGTGTGAGGTTCGCCATCGAGGGCGGAACCACGTGCGCGCGAATTCGCGAGCCACGTCGAAAGAACAGACAAACTTTTCCGCAGTACAAATCGTGCATTCTTGTCTTCGAACGTCTGCTAAATAAAGGTAAGCTGGCCAGCTCAATCTCGCGATCGCGATTGCATGCGTAATAATTAATTCCTCGTGCTCAAAGCGTGCATGTAATAGCTCTGTTAACAAAGAGCAGCGAGCGTTCCAACACTGCATGTTGTTGTCGAGCGAGCACCGATGTGAACGTAAACACGCGGGCCGATTCTGATGTAGTATTTGAGAAGACAATAACGGCTTTCGTTCGTGATATTTAACAAGTCCTTTCGGCTCGTTTATTCCGTATTGCTTCCACTCACATTTGTAGTTTGTTGGTTGACTGACATCTGTTTCCCTCTTGCTTTCCGACTAACGTATCGAGCATAGGTAATTACGCGCACCCTTTGGTGGAATTGCGCGAATAAAATAATTAAACGGTACCCACCCCGTTACAGCAATTTACCTCAAAATATTAACCTGATCGACAGTATATTTAGAAAATTAATTGAAGAAAAGAAATTTCAAGAAATGAGTAAATGTGCTATATTATCAGCTAGGAATGTTGATGTAGATGATATCAATAAACAAATTACTAATTTACTGAACATTAACTCTGAACGTATATATACTGCTATTGATGTCGTTATTAATAACAATGGCGAAATAGATGATGTTATTTTACCAGAACATTTACATAATTTAAATCCTCCAAGTTTGCTCCCTCATGAATTACGCTTGAGAAAAAATTGTATCATAATGTTAATAAGAAATATTAGCATAAATGAAGGCTTATGCAATGGAACGAGATTGTAAATAATAAATTGATTAAACCACTTAATAAAATGTGAAATTTTAACAGGTGTCAGAGCAAACGAAATTATCTTTTTAAATCGTATAACCTTATATTCTGAAAATGATTATCCATTCACATTCAAGAAAAGACAATTTCCAATCAAACTAGCTTTTGCAATGACCATTAACAAAGCTCAAGGACAAACTTTTACAAATACTGGTATTGATCTAAGAAAAGATGTATTTAATCATGGACAACTTTACGTAGTAATGTCCAGAATTAGATCTTGGAATTCTGTCAAAGTATATTTAGGAAACCAAGTAGAAACAAGAAAAGTAAAAAATTTTGTTTACAAAGAATTGTACGTATAAAACTGTTGGATTAGTTTGGGCCGTATATATACAATTATACATGCAACATTATATATAATATATAATTATACAATTAACGATTATCAGTGTCGAATTCTTCAATTTTCATTCTTATTTAGAAAACAAATAAATTATTCGATTTTACATAAATAAAAAAACTTTTTAGTAAAAATAGTGCTAAAGATGAGCGCGCGAAGCGCGCTAAATAAATCTAGTTAATCAAAGAAATACACGAAACCTATGATCATATTGGAAAAAAAAATTACAAAGATGTTACAGGAAAATTTTTATATTTACAAACTTCGTAAAAAAGTAGCTGTAACAATAAATCGTTGCGATTTATGTCAGCACACAAAGTATTATACAAAAAAGACATTACCTGTAAATCCATACCAATTTTAGCCACTAAAAGATTTATCTTCTTTCCAAAAACATTTATATGTAAATATTGGGGAAAGTGTGCTAATGATTTTGAGATAAGGAGGGATATAATCAACTATAAAATAAATCTTAAAAGAAAACAATAATAAAAAGCTCATAGAGAACTGAATCATGAGACTTCTTTCTCATAAATCATTCAGTCTCAAGAGGGGGCTATGTAACGGTCCTATCTATGAGCTAGTTTATTATGTCACTGAATCACCGCAACCCGCAAAACGCATCTATCTGTTTATACAAATTGACACCTTAAACGGCGCCACCTCACCGATTATTCGATTGTCTTAGTACAAGAGTCTAATTTCATAACAAAATAAGGAGCGTGACGTCACAAAGTAATAGATATAGATACGAGTATAATGATTTTTGTTATTTGAGAAAAATATGTTAATTAGATGTAATTTTGATATAACAAAGTATTTCTTATACAGATTTTAGTACGTAGATTCAAAATATAGTAATACGAATTACGTTTGATTATTAAATAATAAGGAATTTTAATATGCAAAGTTAATTTATTTATTACACTATAAATATAAAATTATTAGAAAAATGTAAATAGTCCATATTCAAAATGAATAACTAAAGAACATGAGTAAGAATTGGTTTCATTAATAACAGCTTAATAATAACTGTTATTAATAAATAAACAATTAATAATTTATTTAAACAATAAGTTGTATATAGAACGAAAGCGTTAATTTTTTACTTAATAATGATAGCTTTATAATTTATAAATCTTAGATAATTAATCTAGTAATTGCGTTATAAGATTATAGAAAAAATCGTTACAAATATGAAAATTTGTTATAATTCAAATGTTATTAACTAATTGGAATATTTCTTTTTAGAAATTACTTCTAAAATTAATAAACAATAAAGCTATGTAAAAATTTAATAATTTTCTATTGTAAAAATTGTAATATTGCATTTATTAGTTAATAACTTTTGACGATACTATTTGTGATAATTGTAAATTACACTAAATCGACAAATAGCTAATTCTGTAAAGTTCACATGTATTGAAAGTTCAGTATTGATGTTTATTTACTTGTAAATTAAGAAAATTCGTTTCTCAAAATTCGCAAATGTTTCTCGAATATTCGAAAACTTCTCGAAGAGAACTCTCCTGCGAAAATAGGCGGGAAAATCTATGTATAAATACGCTCACTATTGCACAGGCTGGTATTCACTTCTAGCCTTGCAAGGTGAGCGCATGAGATTGAATAAACTTGGCTAATACCTAAGTTCTTTCTCTCATTGTGATTAACCGAGCAAGACTTTCCTTTCCTATAATTCGAGCTAAACTTATAGAACATCTCGCGCTATAAGAAACTTGGGCCGAATTATATCCTCTTCAAGGAAGACTTTAGCTCTGCTTATGGGAAAATTCGCACCATAAGAAACTAGGGCATAGTCTGACTTTCCTTGAAACCTTGTTCATATTGGCATATATTTGATTTATCAATTTATTATTATTTGCATATATTTGATTTATCAATTTATCATTATTCGCATATATTTGATTTACCAATTTTTTTATTAACAATTAGAGTAATTTTACTAGAAACGAATTCTTACTCATTAACGCAACTAGATACGAGAGTATGAATTATTATTAATAAGTGATACGAACATCACAACTTATCAACCGCATGAAAAGACAATATTAAATGAATCAATTACACAATTAAGGTATTGTATCAAAAGTCAATATATAGATTTTACTTGTAATTTACATTATAACGAAAAAAGAATCTTGTCAAAAAAATAAAAATGATTTTTTGGAAAAGAAAAAATGATTGGAGGTTATAGAGGTTGAAAACTGAAATTCATCATTTACTTTTTCAATTCAATTCAGATATAAATAGATAAAAATAGATAGAAATAAAAGATTAGAAATCGATTTGAAAGATTGTAGATTAGTAGATTTGAAATCAATTTATGATATAATTGTACACAAATAATCAAAGAGTATTCTGTAAAAATCATCCATTTTCCAAACTAAAGCGTATTGCCTGTAGGCAAAATACATAATTTTTACACGTAACTGTTTACTTTTTTTTAATATTTCTGACATACCGTTTATAGATTCTTTTAAGAGTTGAATTTTGAAGTAACATTTTAGTATAAATTCAACTTTATACGAGCATTCATTTGGAAACTATTGACCTTTTTTAGCATTAACCTCGATTAATTCACTCACCACAACTCCTTGCTTATTATTTTTTTCTATTAACCTAGAATAAATATAGTCAACTAAGCAATGTTTATGTAAGAGTAAAACAAAATTAAAAGCAATTTGAATTTAGTATGGTTGATTACTTTGCAATCTTTGCATATACCTTTGATATAAACCTTTTTATATCAATTTTAGTTTCACATAATATTTCAATATGAATTGATATCTCCACCACGTTAAAACTTCTTGTTACTGTTAGCACAGATTTGAAACAAATAAATTGAATATTTTAGAGTAAAATATTCATTTGCTACTGAACCATACTATATACATACATATTCTATAAAAATTAGTTACAAAAATTTTTAACCGCATAAAGTAATAATAGATATAAATCAATTAATCACACAGTCAAAGATTGTATCAAATTTCAACGTATAAATATTTCTTACAAATGATGTTAAAATAAAAGATTTTAGAGAACTAAAGAATATTTCCAAAGAAAATATTTTGAGGTTATGGAGGTTGACCCGAATAGCTCCGAATGGCTACTATAGCACATTGAAATACCAAAAGCGGTTATGTGTTTTATTTTCATATACTTACGTTGTTCTTTAATCAACTAAATTTGCCATGACCAAGATTTTACTTTAACATTGCTTTCAACAATTTGAATTGTCGACAATTTGAATCTGAACAGATTTAATTATAATAATAATCCACATGTCTTCTCATTTTAAGCCGAGCTACGTGTATTTGTCCTGCAGAAACGAGTTGAAGCCGAGCGTGTAATCGGATCAACTGACACTTTAATTTCTTCATTTCTTATTAAACATTAAAATCATTTTCATGCTCGATGACTACAGACTTGGCAACAACGCAGAAAAGTTAGTGTACTCTAGATTATCGCTCATGGAGACATACAGTCTCCATGCTATCGCTGGATACAGTTGATCATAGCACTGTTGCCAAGATTATACTTCATATATCGCAACATACGTACGACAAGCACTGCGGGCAGAAGTCTACCGGCTCATTGGCACCGCACAGCATTGTGAGCGAGTATACTTCTGGCTGCAGGGGCTTCTAATCTCTGACAGAGGCTTTCTCAGCACCGTAAACCTCCGCGTGGCGGATACCGTGTATCGTTGTGTCGCGTACTCTATTTTAGCACGCTGTTGATCGCACAGCCGGCACAGCGATTCAGTACGTCAAAACACACTGAATCAGTGGCAACCCATCTCGACGATTGGGTGCAGACCGCAGTGGTCTTGCCACCGGGGGTACCTCGTCCGTGGTCCCCACCACCAAGTTAATATGGATAGGTCGGATTGCCTGGTCTACGCTGCCGCTGTTCAAGTTCAGAACCAGGTTTACCCCGCATGTCCGCTGGTGCTGATGTATGGCAGGCGTCGGGCCGACTACCCTGGTAGTCGGAGGCTGGACTGTGGCTGCAGGTGGATCACCAACCGGGCCCTCGAGGGCCTGGCGGTGATGACGCTGAACCTCCTTCAGCGCGGCGACGAATTGGCGCCGACTGGACAGCACCTTGCTCCAGTGTTCCATGTCGCTAGGGCGGTGTCCCGTAGCCGTATACGCGTTGAATTCGACGTATACGGCTCATTGAAGGGCGTTGAATGTGGTCCAGCCTTGCTCGACTTCCCTTAAGCCCACAACGATTTCCTGCCATGGCCGTTGACTACCTGGCGCAGCTGGTTGATGGAGGAAGTTAGGACGCCAGGCAGTACCGATGAGGCACCATCGGTTTGAGTGCCCGTTGACACTTTTGGCGCCGCTACTGGAATGGCTCCAGCTGGTAGCCCTGGCAATGGCGCGGTCTCCTCGCGCACGATGCCCGGGATAGACGATGGGCGTTGGGATTCCTCGTCGTCGTCCTGTTCGATCAGCACGGATGACGAGCTCTCGTGAACTCGCACCCGTGCTTGTTCCTCCTCTTTCTTCTTGTCACCAATGATGTGGAGAGCGGCGAGTATGACCCCATTGACCGCGGGGCCTAAATCTAGCCCAATGACGGCGGCCGCCGCTTGCTCTATTTGTTCGAGCGTGATTTTCATCCTGTAACATTTCTATATGTCAATAACGCTAATCTTTTCCTCGGATATCGAAGGCGGGCGCCTGTTCGGCTGCCCAGAACATTCGTCGCTGGGATTGAAGGTGGGGTCGTTTGCTTCGGTCTCCCAGGTCCTTCGTTCGCAGGGCATCATGCGTCAATGGTCTGTGTTTTCGGTGGTCTTCCTCTCTTCCTTTTCACGGCGACGGGAAGGGAGACACGTAGATTCTGTTGACACGATGGAGCTTGAATAGTCAGCGCGTTCTTGCGAGGTCGTCCCCGCGGGCACTTTACCGCACTATTCGATGG